TCGGACATAATTGGTAAATCATCTTCTGGAGGTTCTCTACAAGGGGGCAGGTATCTCCTTCCAACACGGAAGGCTAATACTACCATCAGCACAGCAATGGGAACGCAAGACAAGATGTTAAGGAATATTTTGAGCCCGTCTTTTTCACCAAGGGTAATCGCAAGGCTGTTTTCGTACGGGGAACTGACCACAGCGATGAAGGAAAGTGTGGTCAGGAGTGCCACGTCAGATTTGTTCATCCAGTCATAACTCTCCTCGTCCTCTTCGACATCACGGGCTTCCTTGTAGGGCCTCAAGATTGCAAAGATCAGCAGGATCAGGATGCAGGCCACCTCCAACAAAAGTCTTTTCACCAGACTTGCCGGCATAAATTCATAGATCACCAGGAGACCAAGCCGGCAGATAAAGTAGAAGGCCGCACACCAACGATATTGATCCTTAAAACAGCTTTGAAGTGCATCAAAGAACGGATTCCAGCGATTCAGGTTCAGGACTGGACGGAAACCTCTTGTCAGGAGCGGGGGAAATAAAAGGAACAACGGAAAGAGTACTGACACGAACACCACAAAGAGAATGGCAACAATTCCATAACAGAGATGCTTTCCACTGAAGTACTCTATCTCACCATTGACGTAAAGCACGACCCTTGATCCAACTTTGGCAAAGCGCAGAATCCTGAGAGAAATATAGGTGATGTCTGAATAACAGAGTACAAGGATGGTGCATATGCCACGAAATGGAGCTTTGACCCGTGTGCTAAAGCACCAGTTTGGAAAAGCACTCACCATCTTCGCTAGCAAGACCACAATTACTATGACGTACACCGGAATGAGGTACATTACCATGAGTTTGTCAGCATCATCAAGACCTTTGACCAAACAGAAACTGTTGCTCCCAACTTTAATTTGGCAGTTGGTTAAGGCTATGACAAATTCGCTAAAACTGTTAAATAGAAATCCATCTGGTACTAAGTATCTCATGACTTGGTAGGAGTACACCCAGGCGTTTAAGTACCCAGTAAAGACGTCAAGATCTATAAGCATGATCCCCATGACAATCAGGAGAAGAACCAGAGCCAACGGTATCAACAGTAACAAATACAAATTCGTACATTCATTCTTGCACTGTTCACTGCCAATGGTAACGCTATGATTTGCTTCACATTGTCCGCAGAGTACGCTACTCTGTTTTCTACCCTGCTTGCACATTTGATCCTCAAAATACAGATATTCGTTAGCGCTTGAATCCCATGATTTGCAATATCCATCAGGGCAGACATGCGTGGAAAACTTGCCTTGCACCTTTCCTGCCCAGTATCCTTGTTTCACATAAAGGCTCTTCCCATCAGGAGCACAGTGCGACACCCCTCTAGCTTGCTCGTCTTTGACGGAATCCATACATTTACATGTTAATGTTTCGTTTGAAAAACGAAATCCGGCATAGCAATTGTTTAACTCGAGATCGCCTATCACTGTACTTAAAAGTTGACTTCCTTTACAATTTAGCTGCACAGAAAATTTGCTTCGTTCTATTCCGCATAGACTGATATTGGTAATTTTTCCAGTCGTAAGAAATAATGCTGACGGGGTATTGAGGTGTACTGAAAAAGAATTGATTACTATATCAACAATCCCTGGGACGAGATTTTTAACTTCGTCGCGCAATTTAACGGTTGCATTAAAAATCTCACCTGGAGCAACCTTCCAGTCTGTCTTTACATACTCTATTTCTATTGGGTCTGTCGCAACTTCGCCCGTAAAGTTCGTGAAGTTTTCAGGCAAGTTATGAAACTTGACAAACTTCCATTTTAGTACGCTGTTGTTTGTTCGATTCTCGCCCACTTGCCAACAGTTTTTAAGTGTAGTGACATAGACCGACTTTCCTGAGGAGTGACGGGGTGCTCTATTATTTTTAAAGATGACCGTTATATTCCATTCATCATAATGTATGGACGAGTTGCTGTACGCAAAGAAACAGGTGTAAATGTTGGTACCTGTTGCGTTGAAACTTACCAGGGGAGGACCAGGGGCTTGAATGTACATTGCTCCACCTTTATCGTCGCATGAATTTGCTTCAAAGGTTAATTTTGCATTTTCGTGGAAAATTATTCTCGATCTTCCATATATTGCTATAGCACCGCCTCTAAGCCCAGTGTTGTTGGTGAATTCTACCTGGTCATGAACTTCAAGGGTCGATCCATCTAAAACTAACGCGGACTTACTATTGTTCCAAAATTTCGTGGTGCTTTTGAAGATGAGAGGCACCTCCAAACTGTAGAGAGTTCCTTGTCCCAATTTCAGGTCACCATGTTGAAGACCAATGTGATTAAATTCAAACACCGTATCATTGTCAAAACAAACACGGTAAGGAATTTGCGGTCCAATGTGGTATCTATTATAGTTGTAAAGATATACTCCTATGGCGGCCCCTACGTTTGCTTTGTTGTGCTGCCAAGTGGATTGCTTAAAGTGGAACTGTGTAACAGCAGTTTCTGAATGTTTGGTGCGCGCGATCGTTCTACCAAAGACGGAGGCACCACCTCCCCACAAAGCCTCGTTCTGAACAAATGAACAGTTGCTGATATTGAATCGGTTCAAAATAAGCGGCGTGTGTTTAAGTGGTATGTTTCCCATGCGTGCTCCTCCAGCGGATAGATCTGCTTTATTTCTCAGAAAGGTCGTTCCCTCCATTATAAAGGAATTGTTTTCTGTCTTGTCT